GTGTTATTGTACTAATAATAGTTTCTACTTAGCATTGTTGAAAATTTCTCTGTTTTATAAATCGTTTAACTTAATATACTCAAAATTAGCTAAGTAAAAGATTATTTATTTATTTAAAGTTTTAATCATTATATAGTGTTAATAATGGGAATTATCTTTCAGATTAATTAGTATCTAGAAGTCTTCACTTTCATATATGGGAAGTATACTTTTTTGTATATATAATACAAAACATTCTAACATAGTAATAATAAGATTTATTTAGTAAAAAGCAATCTAATATTACTGTATTATATATTTTCTGATCTTGATTAGAAATAATTAGTGCATGTCTTCACTTTCATATATAGTAAGTATATTTTTTCTTGTTTCTACGTATAATACAAAATACGTTTTAATTCTATTTAGTAAAAAGCGATAAAAAATTTATTATATTAATTTATACTTACTCTTGATTAGAAATAATTAATGCAAGTCTTTATTTTCATATATGGTAAATATACTTTTTTTTGTTTTTACATACAGTATAATACGAAATATGTTCTAACATAGTAATATTAGAATTTTATTTCAATCTAAGATTTATTGTAGACCATATTTTCTGATTTATACTTACTCAATTAGAAATCGTTGATGCATATCGATTGAGTTTAAGTTTTTTGATACTATTTTTTTTAGAATAATTGACGCGTTGAAGGTTCTTGGTGCTTATTTTTAGAAGTTATTGTAGCATATCATCCAAATTTATATTTTAATGGCTATTGTTGTATATAATTCCAGCGTGCTATAATCATAATTATGAGCTATTAGGATAATTAATAATAAAGCGCGTTTTTAGATTTGTCTTTAATCAAATTGCATTTTGATATAGAGAATTTATACAATTACATTTATTATTATATGTCAAATGTTATAATATTTTTTTTAGCAATAAAAAAAAAAAATAAATTTATTTAAAAGTTATACTTAAATAATACAATCTTAAATTATGCAGTCTTATATTTATTTAATAGTTATTTTCTTTGCGTATAATTAAATAATAAAAAAAACTTTTGGACCCAATGCATGCTAATTTAATGTAAACATATAGTAAGTATTAGCGCTATACTTGAAAATGGGTTTTGGTAAAAGCATTATTCATCTATAGTATATTTAATTTTCAAGCCAACAATAGTAATTGTCACCATAAATCCTAATTCAAATATGTTTTCTGTAATTCATGATTCTATTGTTTCGTAAATTCCACTATTCTTTGAAATATTATAAAAGACCAATTTTGTTGTGGCGAAAGCAGTCAACATGATTGATAACAAGAATATAAAATTAATCTAAAAAATTGCAATCTCTAACTCTATCATAATTTTACTTACCTTAAATAACATACTCTTCCATCAAATTATCTCGTTACTGTTAACTGGGCATCTGTTTGTAAAATGGGTAAACTAAAATCACAAAATAAACATCTTAAAAATATTAGAAAGTTACGAGAATGTAATCAAATAAAAGTATTACGGGATCATATAAATAATTCTCCGATACTACTTGATCACCTGATTCTAAAATTCTCACAGTTAAATGATGATGATTTTAGTTTTTTAATGCTAAAAATATTTAAATCTAGAGAAATGACTACCTGTGTTCAAAGACAATTGCTCAATTACCTGATTCCATCATTTAACTAATTAAATAATGATGATTTCAATTCTATAATAAAAAAAAATTTTCGAATCTCAAGAAATGAGTACCTATATTCAAAGAAAACACAATGACATATTTATACGCATTTGTAATTTACCTGACCAACAAATACTCAATGCATTGAATCTTTTTCAAAATGTGATCTACACTCAAGGAATTCATAAGGCGAGATAATTTCTATCTATTTACAAAAAAAGATATGTGAGTTTATTGATGCTAGCCTTTATCAACACGGTTATACTATTGATATGTTAAAATTAAAAAATAAAAATTTAAAGCGAGAAAATCAGCTTTTAAAATGAAAAGGATTTGCAATTAACACTCAATTTTATTCATTATCTACACAGATAGAAATAGCAAGCCAATCAAAGCTAAAACAAACTTCAAAAATTCGAAAAGCCATTTGTAAAGCAAAAAGAATTCGGCCCACCCAATTTTGACGTGCTGCTAATAAATTGTTTAAGGTTAATAAGAAGGAATATAGCGCAAATTTTGTAAAATTAGCTACTGATATTAGCAATACAGGACAGACCTCTATAAGTGCAACTGTAGAGTGCACTAAAGCCGTCTATCAGTTCTTGACTAGAGAGACATCACAGTATTGGGTAGCGCCAAAAACTTTAGCTCAATGGAATAAGGAAATAGCAGCATTGTCATTTAATCAAAACCATCCTGAAGCTTTATCTCGGTTTTTTGGTTATGGGATTATGGCCGATGAAAGTACACGAGGAGAAAAAAAGTATTTATAATTTGTTTTTCATATTGGAATGACATTAAAGGAAAGCCAGCAATTACTATAGCAAAAGTAACAGATATAGCACGCTGTAATGCTAAAACAGTTTTGACTACGGTATTCGAAACATGTAAAGAAAAGGGTATTGATCCTCAAAAATATCATTTTTGGCTTACAGATAATACAGCCTATATGTCTTCAGAGACTAATTACGTGATTGCTAAATTTAATTTGTTAGCAATTTCCCGATCTTTTCAAATTCCTTGTAGGTTACATGCAACCAATATCGCCCTATTAAACTTCGAGAATACAGCATTTAGAAAGTTAGATTCTATTAAAAGATTATCATTAAAAGAACATCCTTTTAATTTACTTAATTTGGCTTTTCATCTTCACGACAAATACGATCTTTCAGATAAAGATAGTCCACTGAATCTAAAATCTGAAGTGTTAAAAAAACTCTATAAGTTAATGTTTAATTTTGAATGAGTAAATATTAACAACCCATCCGTTAATAGTAGTTATATGAACTTAAAACCGCCAAACAATACCTTGAACGACATGAAGTTCATATTAATTTTGCTTAATTTTTTATTGAGCAACTTAAAAATGCTAAAAATATTCCAAAATTGTATTTACATAAATGGCAACTATTTTTTAAGTAGCTTACAAATAAGCAACTTAATATCCAAATACAGTGCCTTGTTAAATTCGGTTAAGAGTTTTATGAACCCATTTATGATTTTCTAACTGGGTATGACCCAACTTCACAAATCTACCATTCCACCAATATAAATATTCTTCCCCTAGGTAATCATGCTCATGAAATGCTAGATAAAATCGTAGTATGAATTCAAAAGCTTCAATATTATCTAGAAAATATTAATAATTTGTTCAACAATGAATTAGCTGATGCTGAACGCGAGTTAAATACTGTAGATTTTGAAAGTTTTTATGAATTATTATGAACTGGGATAGAAAATGCATTAAATGGATTTGTTAAGTGGATGGGAATTTGGATTCACCTACCCTTAAGTATTTGTTGATTAGGTAAAGAAAGCGGGTCAGAATTTGCTTGTGCTTTTTTAAATGTATTTTTTAACAAAAATTCTTTAACTCCTACTTCGAAGGAGGCTTCTTATATCCAAGCTTTAAAAGAAGATATTTCTAATAGGCATTTGGCTACATTTGGACTATTAGATGCATTAAATTAGTATGATTTTTATGAAGAATTTGAAGCATTTGCAAATTCTAATAGTGGGGAGCTAGCAAAATTTCCTCTAATATACAAATTTGTTAAATTTCATATATGGAGTATTGTAGTGCATCAACAGCAATTAGAAGGGTTATTCAATTGCTATGATATAAAAGTTCATCTGAATATGAGTGCTCAATTACAAGAATCCTGTATTCAACTATCTGGTTCAGGTAATAGATATCAAGAAATATCTCAAGACATGTTACAAGATATTCAACAAAATACAAAAAATTTTGAAGTTAGTAAGCAACTAGAAAGTAATAATATTTCTAAAGAAGAAATACTTAATAGTTTTCTTATCTGGCAAAACAAAAGTAGCCATTAACTTGTTCTTCATTCGTTTTTAAATCACTATAACCTAATCTTTTGTCAATTATTGTACGTAAATAAATAGATCTTTAGTTATAATAGTGTATAATAAAAGACTTTTCGCTTTTGTCAAAAAAAATATATGTATTACTATACTGTGTTTCAATAATATTACATGGAAAATTTAATCTGTAATTAGAAGAAAAATAAAATTCTAACGTTATTATGTTTAAAAGATAACTTCTATTAAATGACTTGTTGTTATAGAATGAAAAAATGTTAAATATTCCAAGAGAAATTAAAAGCGAAGTAAAGTCTTTTTTCATAGTCGTTTGATATAGATTGTAGATCAAAAATTTTAAATATAAAAAATCTTTATTAGTGATCATCATTATGCAACCTGCACTATGTTTGTAAATTGACCGATAGGCCATACCCCAATATGATATCCAATCAGCCCGTATGTAAATTATATACTCTTAGGGTGCATTTTTATACTCTTAGAGTACATTTATATTAATTATTATTAAATAATTGATTAAATAATTAATCAGCTATAGTCGGCTATTAGCCACTTTAGCCGATCGGCTAACCGGCTAAGAGTCGATAACCGATCGTAGTCGACTGATAGTTGACTGTAGTCATCCCTAATCTCAACTTCTTAATCGTATTTCAGTTATATTTTTTGTTGTCCAAGAATTTGTGAGAATAACTGTAATATGAAACCATTAAGAAGCCCAAAATAGTTTCATATCAAAAAAAATGCCAAAATAGTCTCTACGACACGTATACTTGTGATTCTGTATTATAAATTTAATTTAGTGACACTGTAAATTTTTTGTTTCTTCATAATAGATTTACCGCGTCAAATTTTAAATTACCGATAAAAAAAGCTAGTTATTTTACAAGTAACTCATATTTTGCGCTGTGTAAGATAAAAATAATATTTTTTAATTCCTTTTTCGATTGTAAACCATTTTTGTTAAAATTAATAGGTCTAGATGAGTCTAAGTCAGATCCGCAACAAACATTTGATCATTACTCAATTAATATTTTGTGTTATTATTGATGTAAATATTTTGTCTTTATTTATAATGCTCATAGAATTACTTTTCATTTTTATTAAAGATGTACTCTAATGTATACTTTACATAAGATTTTTTTGCACTAATTCGTTTAGAACAACTATAGATATGACTTTAGAATCAGCAATGATATTAATTATATGAATAATAAAAGTTTCGGTTTATATTAATATTTGAGTGCTGTCAAGGGAAAACCCTCAATTCTAAAAATAGATTATAAAGAATTTCATAATAATCTATTTTAAGAATTGTTGTTTTTTCTTTGCGACACTTAAAATCAGAATATTATAATATATTATATTTTATAAAATATTTAAATTTAAAAATTATACGTAATCTAAATTACATGCAGCAGATAACATTAATTTTAATATTCATTCTATTAACAACGATAATTACATAGAATTCGATCTGGTGACTGATGTTTTACTTCTTTATGCCACAAAAAAGGTGCTCACAAAGGTTACAACAATTATAAAAAAACGTAAAGTTGCGACTTTGCGGCAGGTATCATTGGTGACACTCATTTAACCGGGGTTAAATCGCCACCCAAAAAAGTTACAGATCATGTGATTATTACTATACGGTAGATCCCCCTATAACGAAAAGAAATCATAAAATTAGTACCCCTACCAAGTATTATATAAAAATTTATTTTTTTATTTATTTATTTGACAATTTATCTCTTCCTACTTTTGTACCCTGGGTATAGCTCAAGACATTGTAAATACCCGGATACATCAGTTTGCACTTTACGGTAATAATCAATTTTATTTCTACGAATTGTATAATACATATGAATAAAAAAAATTACATGCATTTTTGAAACAGGCCGCTATTCATTGTTTTATAATTAAAGCAATACGTTTGAAACTTTTTTTTTCTTTAATTTATGATAACAACCATTATTGTAACCAGAATGTATTATGATTACGATCCTTCCAAGTATTTGGAATTTGTCTTCGTCTTTTAAACCTATTACAGTCTTCAACAAATTTACGCATTGGCTCAAAGTTCTTATCAATACTATCAAGCCACTTATTTCCATTCGGGTTTGTTTTATTTTCTTCAAGTATCCTTTTTGCTGAATTAAATAATTCAAAAATTTCATGCCTGCATTGTTTAAATAAAGTTAGGTCCTGATCTTTATCACTATCATCAATTTCAACTACATTCTCTTCATTCAAATTGATAATTTCTTGTTCCTAAATATGATTTATTGAAGATTCTTGACAATTATTGTTTCTGTTATAAATGATTAATTCGCGGGTTTTAGGAGTGAGATTTTCGACTGCAGTATATATATTTTTTGGTAAATTAAAAAAGGCATTTTCTTCTTTAACTTTTAAAAGGGGATAGGATTCTTGTTGGGTAACCTTAGTTAAATAAATATATTTTACAATAATGACAATAACGATAATATAATAAATAACAGTAAACAGGGTTTTACCTTTTTAAAAAAACTGGGTTCAACATGATTATGCATTCGCACCAAATGTTTGCAAATATAGAACTGGTTTAAAAGAAAACCTGAACATGAACAAATCCAGCGAAGAGAGTCAGTAATATGGTTAGAATTATTATTATTAATTATTTGATTGGCCAATTTTTTTCATTCAGTTCGAAATTCTTCACGCCATTTGGTTGTACAATGTTCATCACATAGTAATTGCAACCGATCAATCTGTCGTGGGATAACTTTAGAGACAATAGTATAAACAATTAGATCTAATCGTGCATAATTAAAGTTTGAAAAAAAATCATGCTTTAAAACTCGCCAATGGCTTTCAATAGCCATAGTACTTCTTAATAAATTAATTTGTGTACTGGATGCATGTGCCCAAAGCTTCCACATATTAGGTTGATACCACTCGAGCCACAAGTAAGCCCATACGTAGCAAAGATTATTCTTGTAGCAAAATTCAAACAATTCTCTAATGCAAGTAATCCAAATTTGTTCTGCACTTAAAAAACCTGTATTTTCTATAGGAATTTTAGGATGTCGTGAAAAGTGAATGCGAATAAGTTGAATAATATTCTCGCGAAAATTCTTTTGACAAAATACTTTATTTTTATTATATACTTGAAGATCAGGGTTTTGATTTTGATGAGTAGGTTGCCAATTAGAATTAATAACCGAACAAAAGGAGTGCGCTTCATGTGCATTGTAATATTTATGTATGATTCCAGTACTAGAAAGTTTTTTTTTAACGGCTCGTAAAATGTGCCAATAACATAATTGGACTTTTGCATCTGTCCAAACTGTATTGATAGCTGTAATTTGCCCACGATCTTTATCAGACAAAAAGGTTTTGACTTTTTGAATGCTATTGTTTTTTAAAAAGTAAAACCATTTTGTTAATGCTTGCGTTTTGCCTTAAGGGGATTTTGGTTCTAAAAAAAAATATGATAATAGAAAACCAGAACCATCAATAACTCCAAGTATTCCATATAATTCAAATTTTAATCTATTTGTGCCATATGTAGCATCTACAATGATTGTATCCATAGCATGGTCGGGTAATATGAATATTAAAGGCGTCAAAAATGCTAATGAATGTTC